ATTTTTTACTTATTTTTAAATTTGATTTTTTGTGTTTAATAGTACTTTTAGTGTAGTTTCTATATATATAAATTTTGTATACAATTACTAAACTTAATATTATGAAAAATTAAATTAAAAATAAATTCAATCAAGCATCGTTAATCGAACCAAGACACATAAAATAGGACGAGGGTAGTACAGTTATGCTATGCATCCATATGCACCATGCATGGTGCATACGGATGCCAAAACGACGTCGTTTATTAAAAAAATGTGCGTCTCCCCTTTAAAAAAAATTCAGGTTCAATTCCCAGCAACAACATTATATTGTTCATTCATTCTGGAATTTTAGTTCATAGATTATGGAATTATAGTTCATTGATTATGGAATTATAGTTCATCGATTATGGAATTGTATTTCATCGATTCTGAAATTTTAGTTTATAGATTATGGAATTTTAGTTCATTCATTCTGGAATTTTTAGTTCATAGATTAGATTATGGAATTATAGTTCATCGATTATGGAATTATAGTTCATCGATTATGGAATTATAGTCCATCGATTATGGAATTTTAGTTTATATGTTGTTGCTGAGAATCAAACCTGATCTTTTTTTTTTTTTTAAGGAGAAAAGCGCGTTTTATTAAAACGACGTCGTTTTTGCACCGGATGCACAACATAATTTGCCCATAAATTTTGGTAGTAACTTTGTTTGTCCTAAAAAAGAAATTAATCCGGCCCATGTGATCCCTCTTACTATATTTATTGCAAAGTCACCCCTACAACCAATTCTATTTATCTTGTCCCTTCCACACCATGTTAGACCAAACATTCCGCAAATTGAACCCTTCTTTATTTGCTCTCCTCTCGTTTCATTCATCAAAGGGACTTTAATTTTTTTTTTTTTTAATTTATAAATTCATACTCCGTATCATTTACGGAGTAGTTAGCTATTATGACTCCCACGTTGACCTCTCAAGGAATGGTTTTGGCGACGGCGATGGCGGTTTCCGGCACCATGATCCTCCTGGTTTTCCGGCTGCAAAAATCTGTGCAGCAGCTTTCGGTAATCGACCCAATTCACCAGTCTTCTCGGCCTCTTCCTCGATCCTGTATCTCTTCAGGTACTTAAATCTCTTCTTTTATTTGTCTCTCGCCATAGCTTCTTCTCCCTTGTTCTTTTTCCCTGTTTTTAAGGATTTGAATATTTCAAGGGATTCTTCTCCTCCCAAAAGGTTGAATCCTCAACCCTAAAGCTTCCTACACTATGATCAGACAATGTATTTAAGAGGATGTAAATCACGATAATTCAATGGTTCAGTATACAAGACCATGGGATGGATGGGAATGGGAGTTGTGTTCTCTTTCATGTGCTTCCCCACTTGTTGTCTGGATGTTTTGGGAGCTAGAGCAATCAAAATTGACTGTTGGGTTGTTTTCTTGAAAAAAGTTTTGGTCCAATTTTCAAGTTTTTTCCCTTAACTTGTGAAAACCCCTTATTTTCCCCAATTGTTTTGGATCGTTTATTTGTTCCCTGCATGTGCAAAACATTATTTCCTTATTTTTCCTTGTGGAAAATTATATTTGACCCTTCAAAGTGGGAAGATATAGATTTGAATTTCCTATAAAATGCAGAGTCTACCTTAGGGGCATTTTGGGCATCAATATATTAGTCCGACCGTTCCCATTGACTTGGTAGCTCAGCATATATATTCACTTGGTAGCTCAGTAAATATGGTAAAATGGTAATGCTTACAAGAAATTTGTTTACTTTGCTATAATTTTTACAATACCCAATATTGATGTGCAAAAGGAATCTGTCTACTAAATTTCAAATCTTAATCTCTTCTTCTAAAGACTGAACCAATAAACTAAACTAGTGCAAACACTCTAATTGCTCTCTTGTTCTCCTCAAAGTAGCCTTATAAATTTGTTTTGGATAATGATTGAACAGAAGGCAAGAAAAAGAAGAAGAAGAGGGTGCACTTTGCAGATGATGTTGTGGACCCAATTGGGAATAGTGAAGAATACAGGAGGCTACACTGCAATAATTTCCCCCACGACAAACCATCTTCATCTTCCCATTCAAATTCAACACTGCAGAAGAGTGTGAAATCCCAAGAAATGCCAGCCAATAGAATGGCCCTCTACAGTGGGATCCTTAGGGACCGTGGCCTCACCAGGATGACCTATTCCTGTTAATCTTCTCAACTTTTCCTCTCTAACCCCCCCATTTTTGTACAAAATCTTTTCCCACCCCCATTTATCTTTTCATTTCTTTCACTTGTGAGAGGTTGTATTATGAGTGAGGTTGCTTTTGGTACAAAGAGTTACCATATTATTTTCATATCTTTAACAACGTTACGCTGTACATTAGTGTTGTAATTAGGTTCGAGTTAATTATGATTATTTTGAGATTGTGTAAACTGCAATACGTTACGGAGTAATTGATTTCTTTTGACCAATTTAGTGAAAGTAATGAATTGCTTTCTTCTTGATCCAACCAAATCTTAGAATGTTTTTCCTTGTTATCTCTGCTCGTCTGACTTAAACTGTGAAGGTTAATAATAGACAACCCTATGGGGAGTAGGATTTAGAATCTTGTGATGATTATCTAACTGTCTAATCAACTTGACTGTGGTATAGTTTAATTGTTGAAAATTAATTTCAGTTGGTCATTAAATTTAATTAATTCATGTTGGAGGGAACCTAACAATTGTCAAGCTTAACCACTTCCAGAGCGTTTGCTTGGAAAGAGCAAATTAAGAGAGCGTTTGCTTGGAAAGAGCAAATTAAGAGGGAAATGAATTCTAGAATTTAAGGGTGCGTTTGGAAACCCGGAAATGACTTCTGGAAAATATTTTCTAAAAAATGAGTCATTTTTCAGAAAACATTTCCCTATTCGGTGTTTGGCTACACAACGAAAAACTGTCTTTGTGTGTTTGATTCATTTTCCAGAAAATGAGTAGGAAAATGAAAAGAATTGAATACTTCAAAATTTTAATTATTTGATATTTTTGATAAAATTCTTTTGTCAATAAGACTCGTTATATATATATATATATATATATATATATATATATATATATATATATATATATATATATGTATGTATGTATGTATGTATGTATGTATGTATGTATGTATGTATGTATGTATGTATGTAAAATATACATACATACATACATACATACATACATACATACATACATACATACATACATACATACATACATACATACATACATACATACATACATACATACATACATACATACATATATATATATATATATATATATATATATATATATATATATATGTGAGTGAATTCCATTTTTGGTCCTACTGTTATAGGGGCATTTCCAATTTCAGTCCACTTTAATTTTTTTTGCCACTTTACAACCACTGTTATTGAATGTGTTCCACTTTTAGTCCACCGTTAATATTTCCGCCAAGAGGCCGTATAATCAAAGGGTATTTTGGTCTTTTTATGTTTGTCTCTTCTCTTTTAATCCAGGCGCTCCACCATCCTGCTCCGATAATCGAAGATGGTTCTTCGAACAACGAGAATGGGAAGCCAAAGTTACATCGTTTCGTTCGTTCCAACATGAGCCGGCGAGGTTTCTTAGGTTTTAGGTTTAATGTTCTCATTTCTTTAGTCAAACATAGTCTTGGATGAGAAGAAAGGTCAAAATACCCCTAGATTACACGGCCTCTTGATAGAAATACTAACGGTGGGACTAAAAGTGAAACACATTCAATAATAGTGGTTATAAAATGGCAAAAAAAATTAAGGTGGACTGAAATTGAAAAACACCCCAATAACAGTAGGACCAAAAATGGAATTCACTATATATATATATATATATATATATATATATATATATATATATATATATATATATATATATATATATATATATATAGAGTTGCACTCGGGTGCGAACGGCTCGCCCAGTCGCGAAATAGGAATGGATTCTGTTCGTCCACGTGTCCAGATCTAATGGATAAGAAACACTGATTTTTTTAAAAAACGCGGTGGCATTTTCGTAAATAATTGAACATTGAAGTGCAAGTAAAATGTATTACAAGTGCATGTAAAATGTATTATAGGTGCAAGTAAAAATTTACACTGAGCATCAATACTTAGTCGCACTTATAGTTCTAAGTAGTTGCACCTATAGTTCTAAGTAGTTGCACACATAGGTATAAGTAGTTGCATCTAGGTGTATGAATGTTTGCGAGTGGTTTTCAGGAGTATTACTACCCGCTGAACTCAGATCAATGAATGTTAACAAGACAAAATTACATGCACTTATAGGTGAAAGTAGGTGTACATATAGTTATAAGTAGTTGCACCTATAGTTATAAATAGTTGCACATATAGTTATAAGCACACCCAGGTGCATGAATGGTTGCGGAAAGTGAATGCTAACAAGGCAAAATTACATGCACTTATAGGTGAAAATAGGTGCACTTATAAGAGATTTTACTTGCACTTCGATGTTCAATTATTTACGAAAATGTTACCACGTTTTTTTTTTAAGTTATTAGATCTGGACACGTGTCACGCGCTGATTCGTTCGCATTTCCTTCCTGGGCACTTATTCGCACCTGAGTGCGTCCATATATATATATATATATATATATATATATATATATATATATATATATATATATATATATATATATATATATATATATATATATATATATAGTACGTAATATTAACATTTTAAAATATGTAATTTTTTAAACATTTTTAAATGCAAAAAAATTAATATTATTTGTAGACTTTACTTATTTTTTTGAACTTTGAAAAAAAAAAAGTCCGCGTTCTGGCCCATGGGGCCTGCCATCCCACATGGGGTGGGCTTTGGTAGGATGAACTTAGCCTGCGAGTTTGGTCGGCCGACTTGCAAAGGCCTGCAAAAAATTAGGCCCGAAAAATTTTGCATGTGCATCCCTTGGAAAATGACTTCCCAAAAAAAAAAAGGAAGTCGTTTTCCCCCAAAACATACCCATTTTCCTTTCACTAATGCATCATTTTCCATTGACCTCATTTTCCCCCCTCTTGCCAAACACTAAAAACTCGGAAAACATTGTCCGGAAGTCATTTTTCGGGTTTCCAAACACACCCTAAATTACAATTGTGAATTGTAGAATTTAAATTACATTATTTGATATGCATGAATAGAATGATTAGGAATTGAAAATGAAGAAATAAATAAATACTAAAATGTTCTTGTATAATAATAATGATAAAATAATAATTCACCATTGAATTACAATTTCACAAAGTGTGAAATTATAATTACAATTCATATAAAGGCTGTATGAATTGCAATTCCATAATTAGAGGGAATTGTAATTCCTCCAACAAAATCATGAAATTGCAATACAGTTCCATAAAGTTTGATGTATAGAAATAGAATTACAAATCCATCGTACCCAACACTCCATTAGAGGAACTAGACAAGAAGCCTTCACATGGATGTTGACATGTTGTATATGCAGGTTTGAGCTATTGTGGAAATAGATTCTTGCAAGTTGCTAGTTCTCAAAATTTTTCCCTAATATATACAACAAATGTTATAAGCCATGATTCATATTCCACCCCAATTTTGGGGAGTCATAACAAAAAAGTACTGATGGGCGGATACTTATCTTGTAGTATCAATCTATAATGAATAATTTGATTACAAAACTTTTTTGTAAAAAAATTTCGACGGCATATACTTCAGTTCTCAATTTTCTTCTTAATTTTTTTTTTCAATTTATAATATACATCTACCAACAACATTTTTTGTTCGTTTGTCTAATTTTTCATTTTTTATTTAGAAAATTAAAAATTTTTCTTACGAATAATGAGTATTAGAAGAGAGAAAACTCCATAATATTTTTTCCTTTATTATTAATAGCAATGCACCAAAACTCCATTGCACAAACTTCAATTTTAGGAAAAAAAAAAAAAAAAAAAACACCAAAATTAGTATTGTTGGAAGTACAAGGTGTAGGATATTGTGAGCATGAATTTGTTCGTTGGTCCCTTTCGTTGGACAAGATCGAACTAAAGATTGAACCCCAGCCTATGATAATCCGGCCACTAGCACGTTATAGACGTGTCAGGGGATTATTGGATGGTCAAGCATGGGCAACTGAGCAATTGATGGCACCAGATAGAAGGGTCCTTCCTGCATCTTCTTGGAAAAGAATCTGTATTCAATCCTTTCTGCTTTATGATTGGATGGTTTCCAATGCATGAATGGAAAGCAAATATATTTAAATATCATCCCCAACTTGTTTGTGTATTACACCAAGGTTTTCTTTTAAAAATAGAAATTTGCACCTTACTTCCAAAAATTCACATATATTTCTTCTCCCAATCTCAATGGTCCCACACTCCAACCAGACAACGCATTTGAAAAAATGTGAATCACGGTAACCGAATGACAAAATTCACATATATTTCTAACTTACAATCATGATAGACGAAAAAAATCGTGAGGAGTTGGTGTTCACAATAAGATTAATTCTTTAAGTTCAAGTAGTTTATCAATGTAAATAGTTAATAATTTTGTTTTGTTAACAATAATAGAGTGCATATTTCTTTTTTGAGTACAATAGTATTAACATGGCGTTTGGTTGGGAGGGATGAATTAGGGAGGAAAGGTATTATAATTCAATAGGAAAAATAGGTGGGAATAAAGTAGGAATTCAATTATATTGTTTGGTAGGTGATAGATACCCCAAATCAGAAGCCGCTCAGGATATAAAACAAGGCAGTCAGACTCAAGCACGACCAACACTTAGCAGATGGGCAATACCCATGATCTCGGTATGACATATAAAGCATCTGGAGATCGCGGTCAGTCATCTTCGAGCAATTGGCCATTCAGGAGGGCAGACACCTACTCAGGCGGAGATCGCCCGGCTCGGGTCAAGCGACCAGGTTCGACAGCTAGTGTGCCCTCGGTTGGATTCGTATATGAGACTCGGTTTGGCGACCAGCCTCGGAAATCGGTGTGTCCCCGACCGAATACCTCGCGGGATTCGGGTGGGCGATCAGGCTCCGCTGGCGGTGTGTCCCTGACCGGGTACCACTGATGAGGAAATCAATCAGGCGACCAGCCTCCATGGTCGAGGTGTCCTCGTCGGGGTATCGCGGCCCCTCAGAACCCCTCCTCGGCAGTCAGGCCATCCCCGACTGGGTGCGCGCCCAGAGGCGGTTACAGGCAGATTTCGCGGAGACTTCCTTATTTATTTTAAGTAATTTCCTTTGTTAGCTCAGACCGTTATGGTATGAAGTAGGCCGGATTCTATATCCGAATTGGCTCTACGTTAGCCCTACTTTCCATATAGAATTGGCTCTACGTCAGCCATACTTTCCTTGTAGGAATCTTGTACTCTATTATAAATATCCCCCGAGATCATCATGTAAAGGGACGACAATTCTAGCACTATAGCGGCCGAAACTCTAGGGAAATAATACCACATTATTTTCTCTATCACTTCACTCTTTTATTCATCTAACCCTTTAATTTAAGTATTTTACGGTAGTGTTGTTCCGCCGACCAGCATCCAGAATTTGTAAAACCAACAGTAGGGATGAATAAAATTACTGAGAATTGAAAGGAATAAGTGATATAAAGACTAAAATGTCTTTGTGTAATAATAGTAATAATAAAAAAAAATGGTCAAATAAATCATTTAACTACACACGAAACTGCAATTAGGTCATCGAACTCAAAAAAACTACAATTGGATTCTTGAACAACGCAAATTCATGTAATTTAACCTAAAATGACTCGTTTACCTATTAGGTTGTCCTCATCCCTGAAAGATGACCTCTTGCAAAATGATGTGGACTTTTTATTTTTATTTTGTTTTAATTTTTTATCCCATGTGTACGATATTATTTATCCCAGCAAAAGGCTGCCACACATGGCAGCCTTTTGACTTTTTTATTATTACTTTTTGTTATTTTAATATTATTTTATTATTATATTTATAATATAATATAATATAATATAATATGTTAGTGTTTAAATTTTGTAAATCCAAACTTGTAATTGGCAAATTATTATGGCAAAACTAGTTAGGTCAAGTTGTGTCTGTTACAGTCACTGAGTGATGATCTTGCCGAACAGTCACTACGCCAGTCGGGTTTTGGAAATTAGCAGTTGATTTTGCAGCCCTTATGACCAGCAATGCAGTTACCATATTGATGATTTTAGAAACCATTCTTGATGAAGTCAGGATTGGCAAAAAGGAAAAATGGCAAGTAATCTTGGTCTACAAGGAAACCCTAGAAGATTACTTGTCATCCAAGTCTCAAAGTATTATATATACTAGTTGTTTACATGGGAAAAAGGTGAGAGAGAAAAAAATAGAGAGGAGCTTTACAAGAAATATCTTTCAAGATTTGAATGTCAAAAAATCGCTCTCCACGAATTACAAAGAAAATACTTTGAGTTATCATCTTCTCAAGACACCATTGATGATCTGAGTTTAACAATAATCTTGGGAAGAATTTCTACAGAGCTTAAATTAGTGGACCGTATTCCATACAACTGTGGGAACAGTGGTGAGTGGGTCAGCGAGACGGACAGCAACAACACGGATCTCCAAAGGGACTTTGGACGCTGAAGCACGGATCTCCGAGCTCGACAATCCTCTATAGCTTTCAAAAGATTGGATATTACCGTGTGGTGTGTAACACACATTGGGTGAGAAGGTTTCTCTTACCGTCTATTTGATTTGCTGTTGAGATAGTGGATTGGACTCACTGATAGTGGTCCCCCAGACATAGATAGACACTGTATCGAATTGGGTAAACAATATTTTGTGTCTTTTACTTCTGTTTGATTTGATTTCCGCACCAAGACTATTCACTGATCTACCGACTAATCTACGACAGTGCTAAGTCAATCACTCAAACAGAATCATATTGAAATATTATCTAGACACAATATTTAACACAAATACAGAAATTACATAATATAATATGAAAGTAGGACCACTTTTGAAAGTGAAAGAGTATTGTAGTGATGTAAAGAAAATAGTTGAAGAATTGTAAATTTGATGATGTGGAAGTGAGACCAATTTTTAAAAGAGAGAGAGTATTGTAGGGATAAGGATAGCCTTAATAGGATGACATGGTGATTATCGAATTTAAAAATATTTATTTTATTTTATTTTAGTAATTTTAAATAAAATAATTATTAAAAAAAAAAAACGTTGGAGACAAAGGAGAGTTGGAGATGAAGAGTGGTCCCTTCGTCTCCGACAGGGAGATGAAGGTCCAACTCCAGTCCATGGCCGGAGACGAAGGGTGGTCCATTCGTCTCCGGGCATGGACTGGTGTTGGACCTTCTACTCCGGCAGGATCTCTTCATCAACTCAATTAAAATTGCTCCAATAATAAATCATTTAATTGCTTAATTCATAATTTATTCTACCAATTTTTTTAAAGTGTTAAAAAATTGGTATATGAAAAAACAAAATATTTTTAAAAAATAGGCATGTGAAAATCGAAGATGGTTTGGCTGTTTTTGAAGTAAGTGTTAAATTTTTGATATATCAAAAAACGAAATATTTTGTAAAAAAAAAAGGGAAATTCTATTTACACCACCTATTTTGCTATTTGCACCACCTATTTAGTAGGTCAAATAGCTTTATAGGTGGTGTAAATGTAAATTTGCTATTTACACCACTAGCATTAAATATGGTCAAAGATTATTATTCATTTTTCATTTTTTAAATTAAAATTATTAAATAAATGAAAAAAAAAACAAAAAAAAGAAGAACACCCCCGTCACCTTTTCAGGTGAGAAAGCAGGGACTGCCTTCTCCGGTGAGAAGGCAACCCAGTGGATTTTTTAAAAAAAAAAAAAAATGAAGAAAACCATCGCCTTCTTCGGTGAGAAGGCGATAGACATGCCTTCTCACTGGAGAAGGCAACTCGGTTGCCTTCTCTAAGACGGCAACTCGGTTGCCTTCTCTAAGACGGCAACTCACTGGAGAAGGCAACCCGCTAGGCTGCTTTCTCACCAGAGAAGGCAACCCACTGGGCTGCCTTCTCACCGGAGAAGGCAGCCCAGTTTCCTTCTCCGGTGAGAAGCACCGGAGAAGGCGCGATTTTTTTTTTTTTTTTTTTTTAAATTTTGAATTAATTAATTATTATTTAAACCTAATAAATGTGATTTAATTAAGGTGGTGCAAATAATATTTTGACCACTTATTAGGCTATTTGCACTACCTATGTATTTATTATAAGTTTTTAACTTTTTATATTTTTAATGTACTTTTTATCTTATTTTGATCAAAGTAGGGTGCAAATAGCAACACCCAAAAAAAAAATAGACATGTGAAAATACAAGATGATTTGGCTCTTTATTGATTACTTCAAAAAACCCCACGCCCAATCCATTGCTGCGGCAGTCGGCCATTATTCCAAGAAAACGGCAATATATGATGCCAAAATTGGAGATAATAACATAAAAAAGAAAACATAAAAAAGAAAAAAGAGAGAGAGGGTGGGGGAGGGGTAAAGACATAAAGTAAGAGAAGAAAAACATAAAATATTCCATAATTATTAGTATTTTTAAAGTTTATTTGTTGGGGGATTCCTGCCTTTCTAGCATATATATATGGAGTGGCTCATAATGGACAAGGCTACCATTTTTATTAAAAGAATTCAGACATTGACCACTCATAGGTATTGTTTAATTTGAAATACATAATTCACTCTAAACTGTTGAAATAATGATGTATTTTAAAGTTTTTAGGATTAGTGTTTTGGCAAAGATATAGGTCATGTTTGGTAAATGACTGTTAGCTGATAGCGGTTAGTTGTTAGGTGATTGGATTAATTAGATGGTATAACTAGTTGATAACGTTAGTTGATTGTAGAAAAGTGTTTGGTAAATTAGATGTTAGTTGAAAGTTGTTTGGTATAATTTCTACTTTTCTAAAAAAGTTAATTGAAAAAGTTGCTTTGGTCAACTTTTTGAATTTTAGCATTTTTAAGTTACAAAAAGCTTTGAACAGATACTACAATATAATAGAGTCAGTAGCATTCAAAAAAAAAAGTTACAAAAAAAACTAATTAACCAAACACTTATATTGATTTTTTAACAAAATCAAACAATTAATAGCGGTCAAATAAATTAAAATTGATTGATAAAGCTAACTATTTTATCAAACATGGCCATAATCTTTTTATAAAAAAAATCTTTTAATTATATTTTCAAAAATGAGGCTCCAAATTTGTTGTCCATCTATGTGGGATCATTGGATCGACAATTAATTTTTGGAAGAGGGGCGTTGAGCTCCTCTTACAGATGAGTGCAAGGCTCTTTTTTTCCTTGAGTTTTTGACTTTTGTTATGGGATCATTTTAATCTCACATTATGTACAAAGTGTTGGAAAAAATAGCTTAAAATTACATAAAATGACATATTAAGTGGCTATTTTGTGGTACAATTATCAGTTGGGTCCACTTTCGATTTGAGTCGGGTCAAAGTGTATTCGGATTCTTCGTAGTAAGACGAAGAGATTGATATATTGTACGCTCAAAACGGATAATGGGTGAATGAGATATTGATTCTCAAAGTAGACCCATTGGAGTTTGGAAATGAAGGGAAAATAGTGGACTTTGTCCCACATTGGTTTGGAAACAAGATTTGTCCCCCTTATATACATGAGCTCTTTTGAAGCTTGTACATTTGTATAGCATAGAGGCTCTCTCGCGGGGGGGGGGGGGGGGGGGGGGGGGGTTGCAAATCAGAATCCCTCTAGAGGAGATCGAAAAGGCTTGATTCAAGCCCGCGCAGGCACGAATGTCGGGTTGCACCGTTTTAATCCTACTTAGTGGGTGACTATTACAGGTGTTACACAATTGGTTTTAATACCAATTTAATGGCCATGTTGAATGCTAGCACTCCAACATCCCTATATAAAGAGAGGTAGAGCAGTAGCTTTTTACACAGTACAGAAACAAGAGGAATTCCAGTAGCTTTCAGCTTCTCAAAACTCTGCTTCTACTCTCTTCTTTACCAACTAGTGTTCACTGCTTTGCTTTGTTTGCTTGGTTCTTTGTTTAGGTGCTTAAACAAAGAATCGAAACACGTTTTATCCTGGGAAACCTAGGCTACAACGCTCCTAGCACTTGTGGAAGGTAGCAAATAAGATTTTAAGGAAAAGAACTTTGTGTTCGAACTCGTGCTAAACCTATACCCAAACACTCAACCTTTTCCTTCCCAGTTTTTCTGTTTTTCCCATATAATATTAATTTTTCCGTAGGATTATTATTATTTTGGAATTTTCCACCTTATTACCCAACACAAAGAGAAGCCACACGTGACTCATCTTTATTATTATTATTATTATTATTATTATTATTATTATTATTATTATTATTATTATTATTATTATTATTATTACTATTTTATTACTACATAATAATAATAATAATAATAATAATAATAATAATAATAATAATGCTTTTATATAGTCTTTTTTTTTACATGTTAACAGCTAATAGTAAACAATTAATTTTACCAAATATCTCTTTACAAATCGCTAATGAAATCTGTAGGTCAAAATCCTCGTCAAACCGCTATTTGTCAAACAAAGCCTTAAAGATAAAATGTACTCCCTCCATCCCATTTTATTCTTAGACATGTATGTCTTAGGAGCCAATATTTATTGTTTTGGGTATTGATTTTTTATTAAATAAATATAATAAATAATTGTTTTTGTTTATTTTATTTTGGCTTAATTATTAATATTTGATATTATTTCGTACAATCTTCTTAATTTTTCATTCTTAAAAGTTAAGAATATGAGTGACAAAAAATTTATTAATGAAGTATTATAAAAATGTTCAGTCATAGAAATTTAATTGGGCATTAAAATTCCGATAAGACTAGCACATTGTCCTTCTTAGGGTGAGTCTCATGTCATTCCGTATGAGATACAAAGAGTGGACATGTGGATGATTGTTAGAGGACAAGTCATTGAACAATGACTCTTACAACGTACCGCATGGTGTTTACCTACGTGTCATTGGTATGTTGTATGTTACAAGTATGCAATAATCATTTGACTTGAGGCGACATAGTTGTCTTGTACATATGATGGACTAGTTTTTGCCAATATGCGTCTTTTTTCCTTATTCCCTATTCTCAAAGGCCTCCTAGAATATTTACCAATGCCTCAAGATCTACAGTTTGGGAAGATCTTCTAATTTCTAAACTTAAAGTCTACTGTTTGGGGCATCTTCCGATTTCCCAAACTTATAACATTTCGATCATGAGAATATAAGATATTAAAACTCAATCAATTCTAGAAGAATATATCTTCTATAAAGTATAAACTAGAAAAGAGAGGATGCATAATCTTTTCTTCGTATTCACTAGTGCATGTATATTATCTTTGAAAGTAATAAATACACTAGTAAAATTACAACATCACTTAGGAAAATGTTATAAATAAGAATTCAAATCAATGGTAGGGGCTCCTCTAAGATTGCCGTTATCTCATTAATGACCTGAGTACCTAACCATTATATATATATATATATATATATATATATATATATATATATATATATATAGTGTGATTGTGCGGTTTAATTTGGGTCATTCATCTCGCTTAAATTAACGTTCAGGATTATCAAAATTAAAAAAAAAAAAAACACGGTGACAATTTTGTAATTTTTACATCTAGGTCAAAATTAAGGTGAGTGGTTCTGTGATTAATGTGCGTGAATTTTGTATATAAGATGCATGAGTCTTGTGTGTAAGGTGCGTGAGTTTTGTGCTTAATGTGCGTGGGTTGTGCTTAATGTGAGTAGTTGTTAAAACTTAAAGTGTGAACTTTTGTGCTTAAGGTGCGTGAGATTTGTTCTTAATGTGAGTGGAGTTTGTGCTTAATGTGCGTAGGGTTTGTGCTTAAGTGTGTGAGGTTAGTGATTAATGTCAGTAGTTGTTGAAACTTAAGGTCTGTGAGTTAATACTTAAAGTGCGTGGATTTTGTGCTTACACTACTACAAAAAAGGGCCTTAACGTCGGATTTTTTTACCCCATTTAACGTCGGATTTTTTACCCCATTTAACGTCAGTTTTCGACCGACATCTAGGTAGCAGACGTCGTAAATAATGAGATACGACGTCGGTTAAAAAAACCGACGTCGTATAATTTTTAAAAGGGAAATATTAACATACGACGTCGGTTATTAAGAAAAAACCGACGTCGTACATTTTAAAAATTAATTTTAATTAAGAAACGACGTCGGGTTTTTTAAAAAACCCGACGTCGTATGTTTAAAAAATATAATAAATTCACATAAGACGTCGATTTTTATGAAACAATCGACGTCTTATGTGAACTAAAAAAAAAAAAAAAATTAACGACGTCAATTTTTTTTTTTTAATTTATGGATTTTCCACCGAATTAATCCTGTACAGCTTAACAATTTTTAAAACCAGCAATTCTTAAAATTAATCGAACTAATAATAAATCTTACAATTAATTTATAAAGCAACTCAGATCATCTAACTAAACAAGTTAAATTAATAGTAATTCTACAATTGATAATAATAATAATTTCATACTTAAATTATCAACATCAACTAAACATCAAGCATTGTTTAAACTCATTCATCAATAAGATACATAGATCACACATCTCTAACTTCATCAATCTCATATTGATTGTAGGACAAACCTCCTTATCTCTTTAAATGCTACAAAGTTGAAAAAAAAAAAGTGAGTAATCAATGACTCCCCCCTATAATAAACATCATTCATAAAACATCAAGGGGATCAATATCAATCAACACCATTCCTTAACACGCTATCTCTTTCAGCACATAATGACTCCCCCTTTAAGATGTGTCTATTCCACAATGAAATGAATAGGGCCAAATAGTGAAATAATGGAATAAAATGGAAATATAAGAAAAATCATCAGGAAATTCACATTCTTAATGGCATATGCAGCAAGTAAAAAGTGAGTAATCAAGGGGATAAATAAGGAAGTAAGCATTGAACTCAACATTAGTAACAGAATGGAATTTGTTTACTCTAGTAATTAAAGCCTTGGGGAGAGGAGTAGCTTCCTTTATTTATTATGTCTCTTCCAAATACTCTTGTATGCCTATATATTGATCTGTAATCTGTAGTTAGGAGTATGAATAAGAAACCTTTCTAGCCTTTTAACAGAAGAGAAGACAATCATAATTCAAAAGACACTCTGACCCCTTTCCCTACCCAAAATTATAATCAACAAAGACGAACACAAAATCAAAAACATGTGATTCATTGTAAATTTTGATAAAAGAATAAACAAATAGCTCATTTTAAGGAGATACACAAATTGCCAGCAAGTTAATTCACATCATTGACTCTAACAAATTTTATCAGGCCATTACCTGTATGTTACGCATTTTGCTGGATTTGCCGGTGTAAATGGTGTAATTGCACAATCCAATACATATAGCCATTTGTACCACCAACCTGGTCCTCAACTAGATTTCTTAGAAGGAAGAATCCTTCTCTCGGCTGTTCACGTTGCCTCACAAGGTGACATAATTGATAATACGATGGGTCACTTTGTCTAAACTTTCTAAGCAAGCCCATCAATTTTCTTGACACTTCATTATCTTGCTCATGCAGGCAAACCTGATTCTCAAGGAGACAAAGAATAGCCACATCAGAGGAAATTTTACAAAATTAAGTGCAAAATAAAGCTAAGGTAGCATGTCAACTTTGGCATTTTTAACTCAAAGATCATTATCATTCACAATTAAGCTAGCTATTTACAAAAAGGCAGTGGCAGTCAAAATAAATAGACCACTTTTTGATGCCATTATGAATATGTATCTCAATAATTGGGGAGGTTTGAGTACAAACAATGGATTCCTATTTGACATGTAGAAGTTCATTATTCATGCAATTGATTTTTCAAATGTTCAGGAAGCTAAAACATGACAGTAATTATGAATAGCAAGCATAAACAACCAAGTCCATGGTGCATCCTACCTTTGAGAATTCTGTAGCAAATTCATCACCCAATAAACTCTTGATGATATTTGTTGAAAGCATTTTACCAAACCATATAACAAACCGAAAACCATCATCATAGATATAGAGACCTCTGACATCTAAGCTATCTACAGTAAGCGGCAGCGTTTTCAACATGTTCTCGGACTCCCCAGTCAAGGGGGATGTCTGAAAATCAGAGAGGAATTTATTAAGAAATCCAGAAATAGAGGGAAAGTAACTTTCTCATAGTGAACTGAGATATCAATAATAAGTTCTTCAATTTAATCAGCATCTATTAATAAGGGAAAAAGAAAGAAACTTACTTTCAAAAGATATTCATCTACACGAATCAGGTTAGGATACAAAAGTTTCAACAGTTTTGCAACTGGCAATGCCATCATAGTATATCCAGAGGCACAGCGTTCATCAAGCTGTGCATCAGAATAACCACCACGTAGGGGCGTTGACTTGGACAAAGCTAATCCATACAAGGGCAATAGTTTCAGTGACTCTGGGTATATCATCCTTCCCCCAGGCGATGTTGTACAACATACAAATTTCAATATTCTCTGAGGGCTTTAACAACTCTCAGTTGAATAGAACTCCGAGCCTCTTCCAATTTAGTGGAGAGCGTTTTCTCAATTGCTGCACATAAAATCATATTTGAGAGATCAAGAACCACTTTAACCTACATTCAAAATCAAAGAGTAACGGAATGCAATGAAAGAAAAGTGATTTTTTTTATACCTAGGCACCTAGCCTAGAGAACAAAGATACAATTGCACCAGCATCAGCAAGGCGATACATTTCTCCTAATTCTGCAACCACAGGTGCTGCTGCTGTGTGTACCCTAATACGTCTTTCTCCATAAGAGGATGTGTACCTTCATACTATTAAGGAACCCTAAATTTCCCAAAGATAAGAGGAAAAACTAAATACCTGTGTATTCAATATCAAGTAGAAATTTCATCTCCATACCAAAGCGTGGTGGCGCGGCGGTGTCCGAAAGCGTCCGATTAGGGCTGTTGGGGCGACACGACGGTGCGGTGAGGGGTGAGGCAGCTGGCGACGGCGGTGGCGGCGAGAAGAAGGAAAAGGTGGAGCGGCTGTGGCGACGAAGGTGGAGCAGCTGTGGCGACGACGGTGGAGCGGCTTTGCGACGAGCAGAAGGACGATGTGGCGAAGATGCGACGGTGGTGGAGCGGCGGTGTGGCGTGGAGACGTGGATGGAGCTGTGGCGTGGAGAGGAGGTGGAGCGGCGGTAGGTTTAATTTTTTTGTTTGATCTGATCTGAAGTGTGAGCGGCGTTGTAATTTCAATATGATATGCAATATTTATTTATTTATTTATTTTTAATACAAAATGGTTACGACGTTGGCTATTTTGAATAACCAACGTCGTATCTTAGATAAAAAAAATAAAAAGTAAAAATCGAATAACTATACGACGTCGGTTAGTCTACTAACCGAAGTCGTATAGTATACTTATTTTTTTATTTTTTAAATTAATGTGTTACGACGTCGGTTAAATGAACAACCGACGTCATATATTTTGTAAATTTTATTTTTTTTTAATTTTATGGACTTAGAGCGTCGGTTGTTTGAAAAAACAGACGCTGTAAGTCTTTTAAAAAAAAATTAAATTTAGAAAAATATATAACGTCAGTTTTTCATTTAACCGACGTTATATCCCCGATGTTGTAAGTGATTTCTGTAGTAGTGTTAATGTGCGTGAGGTTGTGTTTAATGTGCATGGGTTTTGTACTTAATATGCGTAAGTTTGTGCTTAATGTCAGTAGTTGTTGAAACTTAAGGTCTGTGAGTTAATACTTAAAGTGTGTGGGTTTTGTACTTAATGTGCGTGAGGTTGTGCTTAATGTGCGTGAGTTTTGTACTTAATGTGCATGAGTTTGTGCTTAAGATCTAACACTTAAGGTGCATGTTTCTATCACTTATTCTTACTTCCAGACGCGCGTTTGTTTTTTTTTTTTTTTGTTTTTTTTTTTTAATTTTCAATGATTTGAGCCATTGATCTAGATTTGATCAACGGTTAAGATCTAACCGTACAACCGCACGGGAAGCTATACCTGCACTTGAACCCTTCCATATATATATATATAGAACTGGGTTGTGGTGCGGTTGTGCGGTTTAATCTAAGCCATTCATCTCGTTTAAATCAACGTTCAAGATTACCAAAATTAAATTAAAAAAAAACGCGGTGTCATTTTGGTAATTTTTGTATCTCGGTAAATTTGAGGTGTTTGGGTTTGGACTTAATGTGCGTGAGATTTGTGCTTAAGGTGCGTGAGATTTGTGCTTAATGTGCGTGGGTGTGGGCTTAATGTGCGTGGGGTTAGTGATTAATGTCAGTAGTTGTTGAAACTTAAAGTGTGTGAGGTAATACTTAAAGTGCGTCAGTTTAATGCTTAATGTGCGTGAGGTCTGTGCTTAATGTGCGTGGTGATTTGTATTCCTAAGATGCGCCATGTTAATATTGAAGATGCGTCCAACGGCACAACCGCACGAGAAGCTTTTACTGCACATGAATCCTTCCATATATATATATATATATATATATATATATATATATATATATATATATATATATATATATATATATATATATATATATATATATATATATATATATATATATATATATATATATATAAAAGGGGAAATTGCATCTTTAGTCCCTGAGTTATAACCAAATTTCGATTTAGTCCCTAAGTTATGACCGTATCCGACTTTAGTCCCTCTGTTATGAGCAAAGTGGCGAGTTTGGTCCCTAGCGTTAATATTCTATCTGTAGCTAACGGAAAACTTAAAAACAATTTAATAATAGAGGGGTAAAATATAAATTTCAAATTATAATTCCCTTCTTATGTTAAAACCTTTGCGCAACAGTCATTCTTTTCTTCTTATACCTTCTTCCACAAGCTCTAAAGCCTCTAATATCTCAAATTCGTCCACTTTCAAGTTGCGAAATTCATAGGTAAGTTATTTCTCTATATTATATGTTTAAATAAATAATCAATATTCTCCGTATTTATGAGCAAGAAAAGAGTAAGTTGGAGGAGGTGTTTGCTAACTTCATGAAGAATATTGATTACTTTTTTTTTTTTTTTTTTTATTATTATTGATAATCAATATCCTCCAAGTTACTTTTTTCTTGATTAAAATAGAGAATATTGATTATTTATTTAAACATATAAATAGCGAAACAACTTACCTATGAATTTCGCTGCTTGGAAGTGGATGAATTTGATATTTTAGAGCTTGGAGATGAAAAAAGACCTTCGATGGTAAGTATAAGAATAAAATAATGACTGTTGTGCAATGAGTTTCAACATAAGAAGGAGATTATAATTTGAAATTCTTATTTTACCCCTCTATTATTTAATTATTTTTAAGTTTTCCGTTAGTTGCAGACAAGATATTAACGCTAGGGACCAAACTCGCCACTTTGCTCATAACCAAGGAACTACTCGAATAATGCCATAACTTAGGGACTGAGTCGGGACTTGGTTATAACTCAGGAGCTAAAGATGCAATTTTCCCTATATATAAATAAGAGTGTTTTATTCAATTCTTTTTTCTTTCTTTTTTTTTTCTTTTTCTTTTTTTTTTTTTTCATTTTTCGATTGAGTTTTCTATATTTCATCAACTTTTTCATTCCCTATTATCTATTTTTCCTTTCCAAATATAAAAGTAGACGTTTTGTTTTTCTCCAATTTTTCATTTCTTAAAAAAAATTCAGTTAATAAACACATTCTAATTTTCTCGGTGAAGTTTCTTCCTTACTAAAAGATAATTTTATAGGTACTCCGAGGTAAAGAAGAGTCCTATAAGATAGAACTTATGAAGCTGTCTTTTTGGGTGTCCCTATCCTATTGATAAATAAATAAATTATAGATGATTAGGTGGTAATGTTCCCAACTATTCGTTACTATGTTTATGTTTGTGAGTGTGTTTTTTTTTTTTTTTTTTTTTTTTTTTTGGATGGAGTTTCTCCATGTGCACAGTGTACTTTGCTTAATGGTTGTTTGTTGTGGACCACAAGTAAGGAATAATAAGGAAAAGCAAAAGATATGAATTATAGACAAACATGAAGTGTAGGACCGTCACATGTTAGGGTGCCTCAATGTGTAGGACATTCACATGTTAGAGCGCCTCAATTGGAAAGCTTTGGCAAATTATATCATGCACCGTGCGTGTTTTTTTTTTTTAAATGAAAATAAACAGTGTTTGTTTTCTGCGTTTCGCACCCTTTTATAAAAAGTAATCCTGTTCTTCAATGTCATTTTGTATACACTGCAGTGTCAGTTCAACACAACTACAGTTTCATTTCGATATAACTATAGTTTCATTCGATATTTATAAATTCAAATATGTGAAAATGTTATTTAATTTTATTTTATATACACTATAGTTTCATTAAAACACAACTACATGATCATTTTGATATAATTACAGCTTCATTGTACAATATACACTCAAATATGTGAAATGTTATTCAGTTTCATTTTATATACACTGCAGTTTCATTTCACTATAACTACAGTATCATTTTGATATAACTGCAGTGTCGGTTTAGATATACTGTAGTGTCAGTTGATGTTTAATACACCAAACAAGCGTACTCCGTTAACTATAACAGCGGGCCGTTTCTTTACTTAAAGAAACGGCGCCGTTTTTCACCATGCACCGCGGTCTATGATATAACGACTGGATATTATGCAATTGGTACTTGGTACCATACATGGGTTTAGGATATTATGGATTGATTTTTCAAGATCCATATGATTTTTTAACTTATTTATTTATTTATTAACTTTTTTGCAAAAACAAACCCTCCAAATTTAAAGTGGGATTTATCCCATGTAATTCTAATGATTCATGTACTGTATTTGGTATATGTGACTGTTTAAAAAAAAAGGATCAAAATTGACATTTTTTTATTTTAAATTATATGTTTATACTTTGAAGGTACAAGATATTTGGCTATGAGTTTTGTAGTATATTTTAATAATAATAATATAATAATAATAATAATAATAATAATAATAATAATAATAATAATAATTCACGTTTGCACCCATTTAATTCACGTTCGCACACACTTAATCTAATCTAGATCATTAAAAAATATTAGATTGATGCACACGATTTGTTCTCACTTTCTCACCTAAGCAAGTGTTCTCATTGGAACCCTTTTCTCTCTCTCTCTCTCTCTCTCTCTCTCTCTCTCTATATATATATATATATATATATATATATATATATATATATATATATATATATATATATATATATATATATATATATATATATATATATATATATATATATATATATATATATATATATATATATATACTAGTTTTTCTACGCGCTTTGCGTGAATGAGATAATGCCCAATGATTCTTTTTAAATAAGTATTTCAAAGTATATCAATACAATATTATATAGAAGATGTTCATGCATAGGTAAATAAATGTTGAATTTGTTTATTTAAATCAGTA